GTGTGCCTTGGGGTAGCCTCGCTGCGGGGACACGGTGGACCTCTGTCGCCTTTCAGCGCAACTTCGTGATTCTCCAGATTCTAGGGGGTTATGCAGCAGCCCTACTTCCCGCGGCTATGTGGAGGTGTGGTCGTCCCAACCTGCCCTGGATGTTGCAGGCGGAAATCAACAAGCCTTAGATTACTAGACCGAACCTCTGTGAAGCTTACAAACAGGCAAGCAGCTGTTCACACAGGAAAAAAAAAACTTGATGTATTAAACTTAAAGTGCCATGAAATGAAAACTGTATTTTTCTTGTTTGGTGCCCTGTTTCTCTGACTCTTTCTGATTTGTATAGCACTTCCCATTTTGTTGTGATATCACACCCTGTAGTATAGTCAACCTGATGTTCAGAAGAAAGTAGGACGAGATGTTTTAAAATGAAGGACCGAAGATAAAAACATTTATTTGCTAAATAGTTTCAATTTAATGCATACAGTAGGAGTCGTTTTTTTTCTTTCAGAGGTCATTTCTGCTTGTTGTTACATGGATAAAGAAAACAATGCATGTTGCAATCATGTCTTTTGAATCTGGAGCTCCATCTGTATAATGTCCCTCTGCTATTTTCTTTTTTGGCAATGGAGGCTTAATTATCTGCACAATCCTCTTTTTAAACAGCCTGCACATTTGTAACTGCTTAGAGGTTATCCACTCTGTTTTATTGATATTTCCATAGTGCAATATTAACAATTTCTCCACATCAATAACGTGTAAGCAGGTGATTTGGCATAATTACATTATTGGAAGAAGCAACTTGGATAGAAAATTGTTATGATTTTTGTACTGTAATAATTCAAGGATATACATCATTGCTGTTGTTGGACTCTTGATGAACATTAAATAAAAGATCAACATACAAGCAGCATAACTGAAAATATTCTGTATTTCATACAACCTTTTGCCCCAATTACCAACAATTAAACTCAACCAGATGTTGATGCGTTTGGATAGCATAGTAACAACTAATGTAGCCTAGAGCCACTACTGTAGCCTAAAGCAAAGATTAGCACAAGGCTCCTTTGGTGCAAACACTCCACTCATCTGATTTGTTCATATTAAAACCTCTGCAACAACTGTTGACTCACATAAAACAACTTCTGTTAACTTTGACATCCTACGTTTTACTCTTGTGCACTACTCACGAATAACTGCAAATAGATGCTGATGCATTTGCTTTTCCTTTGGCGTGATCTGAATCGGCAGTAAAGGGCTGCTTGAACGCTGCTGTGAGGAGTCGTTTCTCGTAGTTTTTTTGTCAAACTCAACTTCAGTTGAATACTGGCGGAAACCAATTTGATAAAAATCGTTGTCCATTGAGTTAACTGGGTTAAGTCAACTAGAATGAATGTGCACTACACATTGAGTTCCAACATTAGTTGAGATTTAAAGCATCTGCCGGTATTGACAAGCAGTTTATTCAATGTCTTTCTTCAGAAAATGGGACCTTGCTATACAGTATGTGTCTAAAATTTACTTTTTTTCAAATGGTTTGCAGGGGGTGACTCAACTCTTAGCAAAAAGCATAGAAGTCTAACTTCTAACTTGATTTTTTTCACTCAGAATTCAGAAAACATTTCATTAATGTGGTAATTGTCTCAAATGCTTGTTTTAATGCATCATATTGGTCATTTTGTAAGTTATCGTCCCTTTGAGAGTAAAATAAATGAATAAGCAGCGTTTTTGCTTTAGGGCGTGGCTTCATGTTATGATGTGGCTACCAATGAATATGTTCTGGTTAGTTATTCACATTATTTCTTTTGAAGTTCCTGGATTGAATTATAAAATGTCGTTCACTATAGCAACACCAATTGCAATAATGATAAGGGCTTGTGTGTTATGATCTCACTTCCAAGTAAGCGAAAGTTGAGATTTTTTCCGGGAATTTGGCCAAAGACATCCAGTTCGTGATACTGCAAACGCAAAGGCGATAGACTAAATCATTGTATTGACTCAGATGGCGAATAACGACTTGACTGACTTTTATTTAAATATTTTTGTCCTTTTGAAATTTCAATTCAGCACAACATAATTCGGAAAATGTATAAGTAGTATAAAAACAGATTTGTTTTGCACAAAGACACCTGTCCTGTAGAGGAAATGTTTGGTTCAAGGTTCAGCTTTACTGTCAATACCATGCAGGAGTTCACAATAAAATGCAGTGGTTGCCCCTCTATAGTGATGTCAAATCCTAGTAAACACCGGGATCATTCCTGAGCCTCAACATCAGAGACTGTTTGATCTGATCAAATGCTGAAATGAAATCCGTCAAACTAAACCAGCAGAAATGTTTATACTCTGTGTTGTTCAACGATGACTTTGTGACAAACATTTCCAATGTAATATCAATAAATCTGTGTGTTTTTGTTTGTTTGTCTGCTCTCTTCCAGGTCAGGGCGTCCTGTCAGTTTCATGGTGGTCCTCAATACTCCAAACCCCCTTAGTAAGATCTCCTGGGTCAACCGTCTGCACTTGGCCAAGATTGCACAACGTAAGCAAACACAAAACACACACTCACACGGAAAAAGGATTACCATGCCATTTCTATACAAACAACATGATGTAATGGAATGAAATGAAATGACAATGTTTTAAGTCAGAGGCTCAGACCTACCATCAGTGTTTGCCTCACTCTCTATTGGCTGAGAGCACAGTTGGTGTTACGACTTATATAATCAGAGAACATTCGAGACTCTCAAATGGGTCATTTGGAGTTGATGTGCTGAAGAAAGAGGCAAACTTTTTAAACAATGTTGAATTAATAACCTCTGTTCCCAAGTATTGGAAAAAAGCATTAGAATCCAATTTAAAGGGGCCCTATTATGGTTTGTGGGACTTTCCCTTTCCTGTAGTGTGTTATAAAGGTTTTTGTGCATGAAAATGGTCTACAAAGGCTCAAACCTCAAAGTTCCCCTTAGGGGTGGGACATCTCCATGCCGTTGACAAATCACAACAGAGCCAGCCATCTAACCAATCAGAGCTCACTGGGCTCTAGAGGTGCTGCACCACAGGCAGTATAAGAAATACAAAGTTATTTTTGCACATCTAAACATGTCACTGTAGAGGCAGAAAAATACAAATATTAACCTGAATATTAGAATAGTAGGGCCCCTTTAAATTCTTTACTACCAATTTTTAAGGCTCTTATTTTTGATATCTCATTTATTGTGTAGTCTCAGCAGTGGTCAATATCCATGAAGAAAAATAATGGCCACACCCTGCCCAGCAGGGAGCAGCACAGTTATTTAAAAAAAAAGAAGTAAAATCTTCCTAACATCTTTCCTCCAACCCTTGCTCTTCTCTGCCCAGCCTTAAGTCTACTATGCTGTCTGACCACACTAAGGGACATTTTCCTTTCTGGGGTTAATCAATGCGTGCTGTCATCCAGTGGCAAATTCAGCGATTGGACTACCGAGCACATTCATCTGCTTATTTGGCCATGATGGCACGCATATTCAACCCACTCACCCCCCCAGTCTCCTCTTCCCCAGCCTTTCCTTCTCTCCGTGTCGCCTTGAGCGCTCTTCCTTGTCACACACACTTTATTCTGGCTCTGTTGTGCATGCGGTACTTCTCTTAGTACTGCGCTTGAGTGTAACTCCAATTATATTGTTGTGGCCTCTTGGATCCTAGAGGCCATCGCTTCAAGCATCAGCACATACAAATCCAAGGTTTCAAAGGAAGTCATTGGAGGTTTACGACACTCAATTAAATGTTTGACGAAGATGAGTGTAAGCAAATATGTCTATCTTTTTGACACTCAAGCATACCCTTCAGAGTATCAATGAACCCCACGTTGGATGAAGGATAAGAGGGAGCCTGAAGTGTTTTTTGCTTTCCAAAAGAAAGGAATCCAGAGACTTTGCCTCCCCTGCTTCTTGAGATTCTCCATCCTTGAACAAGAAAAACAACCCACAACACTTGATTCTTCCCCTGTTCTGCTGGCTTACCTTTCATAGTGGGTGTGTATAGAGGTGCATGAAGCATACACTACATCTGTAGAGTCTCCGGTAGAGTATGGTTGTGGCATCAAAAACATCAGGCCGAGGACAGAGGATGCTGCGGCTACAGTGAAGCATCCCCAGCCTCTCCATGTTGCTCACACCTTTATCAGCAACACAGCAAGCCTACTGATGAGGACAGTGGCAGAGATATAGCATGCTGCTCTCCTCCCATATAGCTGCCGAGTGGACCTGGGTGTTATTCAAAGCACAGTCCTGCTACAATATATACATAGCTGTTATATGGATGTGGACCCCCATGCTGTAATAATTAAATCAAAAATAATATTAGAATAGAATATGGGGAAAAGCTATTCTTAACAATGTATAGAAACATAAGAAGTTAGAGTAGGAAATTGCAATTTAAAAGATAACAGAAATATATTTATATCAACTTCAGAATTGAAGTAAATCATGTCAAATTATGAAAAAGATCAATAGAATACAAAATATTTATATCAACATGAGAAGTTAAATTAAAAAATGTAATAAAAATATGTATATTAATAAGAAGTTAAAGTTAGAAAATGTTAAAAGATACAATAAAAACATATGCAATATTCATACGTAGGAAGTCAAATATCAGATAAATATTAAATAAAAGAGAATACAAACATGTATTTAAACACAAGATTTTAAAGTAAAAAATGGAATGAAGATAACATAAAATAGATTACAAATATTTATATAAACATAAGAAGTTTAAGTATCAGAGTGTAATATATAACTTGTATATTACAGTGTGTATACAGTGGTGTATTAATATAAATACGATATTAATGCTGAATTGCACGGTTTAAAAGAGTTTGTCTGCTGATGAAGTCCTCAAGAAACATCAATATGACTGTATGACTTGAGGAGCATTCAAACATGTTACTCCTTTTGCTTAGACTAATTGAATAAACTGCATTTATGTGGCATTCACTGGGAATGGACAACAACAAATAAACATGGATTTATCTTATACTCGTGAAACACACCCTCCACCCCTGAAGACAAGCAATATAATGCTTTCAAAATGTAAATATTACACATATTGATTGTCTCTCAAATGCTACTGTCAGCACCAATCCAGCTTTATCTGATTTGCAATCAAACCTGCTACATTGTAGCCTCAAGTGCCTGTTGCAGACCTCTATGTTAAGCTAGCCATGAAATGTTTGCACTATTAGACGAAGAAAAATAAAATCACTGGACTGATCAGAGGAAATTGACACATCTACATTTCTAAGGTTTTAGGCCTGTAGCCAAATCTGCCCTCGAGAGCAAGTTACCATGAGAACAGCAGTAAAGTTAGCTTTGAATATACTCCATCACCAACATAACAAGTGGCTAAGTGTGAGGAGAACAGGATTCAAGGTGCAACAAAATAAAAAGCCAAAGCAAGTACAATAAATAAAATGAGAATTAGAGGGAAATAAGAGGAGCTTTGGGAGTAGAAGTAAGATAAATAAAAAGTGAGAGGAGGATACAGTACAGAGAAACCCCCACTGCAGTCAAGACATCAAACAATTAAATCATTTCTCAACTCAAGGCAAACAATGAAGACTTGATATTTCTACCAGAATAAATGTCTTACAAAGATATTGATTCGCTCATCTCTCGTTCAAATGATTGACAGTGTGCATTTTAAACGAACGCTGTGTTTCCTTCACACCTTGACAGTTGCTCTGCTAAACAGATCCTGGTTTTGTTGTTTCAATCCTTTTCTTTCCTTTTTGCCACGAAGCAATGTAGTAACTCGTAACATCCATCCCATATTGTATCAATGCAGTTTTAAAATCCCTGCTGTCATACATGTAGAGAGACAGTACAGATTGGAAGGCATTTGGAACAGCAATGAATACTAAATATATAATTAAGAAAAACAAAAGTAGTTATTTATTTATTTTGTGTTTTCAAAGGCTCTTCTCTTCAAGCCCTTTCACACTAACCCCTAGATTCCACCGGGTCCGTCTGCATCGCGTTACGGCCGCGTTACGGCTGTGCCGCGGCATCTGCAAGGATCGCTGCCACTCTAGTCAATGGGTGCTATTCCACCAGACGCGCCGCGTTATGGCTCAGAAGCGTCTCGGCGCTGGGCTCCGCTAAAAATAGGATGCAAGTTGATTTTCGACGCGAGGCGTTGCATATCGCCGGGCAGGAAGTGGACCGGTCAGAGCATCCAGTCAATCCCCAAAATAAACTAATTTTGCTGACCCTATCCCTCCGCAGTCTTTCAAGTAGGAGGAGAAATTCCAGCGTTCTCCTCCGGTTTACAGGCACTGTGTAAATTATACAATGTAGTGCCGGTAAGAAGGAGTCGGAGGCGGAGTATTTAAGATGGATTTCCACTCTTTATTTTCCATCAAGCAATAGTAGTATCAGACATGTACTCAGTGAGGAGAGTCAAGTTAGAGTGCGTTGCTCGCTCTAGCTTGGCAACCTATATCTACGGTGTTACACTAAACAAGGTCCGTGTAGGAACTTTCAAAAGTGAATTATGGTTAACTAGAGTCACCACATGACCATATTTGGATCCGATGAGATTGTGCAGGAGAGACCGAGCTTTCCAACGATATCTCTGATGACATGGTGCAAACAGCGGTCGCGGTACTTTATGTTACGTTAGAATGCTAACTTTAGGTGAATTTAGGAGAAATATACAGACGGAAATAGACAAACTAGAGTAAAAATGAACACTTAAATGTGTATTTTGTGCGTTTTCCTTCCAAAAGCCTGAAAGAAAACATGTTATGGAATCAAAATAGCAAAACATCTCAAAATTGACCAGTGCATGAAAAACGATGTTTTTGCCTGCCGTGTCTCGCCTTTTACAAACAATTTATGTGGCTCGTATCACTGACAGCCGGGCACCGCCTTTTTTCTTTTTTAAGCGGCCCCCTCCTCACTTTTGGCAGCACCCCCTGAGCAAAATGACTTCCCGCGGCTATGGAAAGTCCCGACGGAGAATAATGTACGTCCAGGAAGCCCTGTACGTCCAGGGAGGATGCCTAGGAGGCATCAGTATGTCTAAATCCCCACATGTATTAACCTCTCATTTCATCCATAGATTTCCACTGCATCCCACAAGGTAAGATTTCATCACGTTCAGTACTTCATACTTTCACTTCTTTTGGGGGTTCATCGGAAACGGTTCTTCCCTTCCCGAATGACATCCTACCAAACCTGGGCCTAATCGCCAAANCTGAGTATGGGGGCAGGCAAAACAACTCCTGAATGTGCGGTTCCCGGCAAAGTGGGAACAGGGACCACAAGACTCAAACCTGTAGCGGGAATCGAAGACGGGGGGCGACCCCGTCGTGGTGAACGGGCCAACACCACCGGCAGCTCCAAGTCCAAATGAGCAGCCTTCACCCGGTCCACCGAGACGGTCTCCGCCTTGCCACCCATGTCGACCACCAGGTGCTTGTCCCCCTGCTCCAAAACCCGGAAAGGCCCATCGTAAGGGGGCTGTAGGGGGCCCCTGTGCGCGTCCTGGCGGATGAAAACGTGCCCAGCCGAGCGTAGCTCAGCTGGCACCTGAGACCCCGGCGCACCGTGCTGAGAAGTCGGAACCGGAACGAAAGCCTCTTGCAGGAAAACCTGTTGAGCCGTAGGAGACCAAGGAACTGCTGCCTTGGCTAGGAATTCCCCTGGGACTCTCAGGGGTTGACCGTAAACCATCTCCGCCGTGGAGCACTGCAGATCCTCCTTAGGCGTGGTCCTCAGGCCCAACATCACCCAGGGCAGCTTCTCGACCGTCCGTAAGGCTGGCCTTGAGCGCCACCTTCATTGAGCGATGGAAGCGCTCGCAGAGGCCGTTAGCCTGGGGGTGGTAAGCGGTAGTCCTGTGCAGTTTGACCCCCAAACTGTCTGCAACCGAGCCCCAGAGCCCTGAAGTGAACTGTGAGCTCCTGTCCGAGGAAATGTCTGACGGGGTGCCAAAACAACACACCCACGTCGCGATAAAAGCCCTAGCCACGTCAGCGGCTGAAGTCGACACAAGAGGAACCGCCTCTGGCCAACGGGTCGTCCTATCCACCATGGTGAGGAGGTAGGAAAATCTCCTCTCTGGCACTAAGAACCGCTCCAAAGGGGCCTTCGTTGTGGCGGTGCACCTTAGCGCGTTGGCAAGCCACGCACCCCCCGGCCCAAGCTCTTACATCCTTTTTCAGCCCACGCCAGACAAACTTCGCGGCCACCAAGCGCACCGAAGGTTTAACGCCAGGGTGAGACAAGCCGTGCACCGCCTCGAAAACAGGACGCCTCCAGTTGGCGGGGACGACCGGTCGTGACAGGCCCGTAGAGACGTCGCACAGAAGGGTGATGCTCGCGTCGCCGAACACCACGTCCTCCAGGCGCAGCCCAGCGCTCTCTGTCTTCAGACTCTGGACGCCGGAGTCGGTGACCTGGTCCGCCGCCATAAGAGCATAATCCAGACCCAGCTGGACGGCTCCGATGACGACCCTGGAGAGGCAATCGGCAACCAAGTTCGACTTGCCAGCCACGTGTTTAATGTCTGTGGTAAACTCCGAAATGTAGGAGAGCTGCCGCTGCTGACGTGCCGACCAAGACTCCGCCACCTTTGACATGGCGAAGGTGAGCGGTTTGTGGTCTACAAACGCCGTGAACTCACGGCCTTCCAACAGAAAACGGAAGTGCCGCACAGCCAAATAAAGACCCAGGAGCTCCCGGTCAAAAGCGCTGTACTTGCGTTCCCTCGGCGTCAGCTGCCTGCTGAAAAAGGCGAGCGGTTGCCANGTGGCTAAGTGGATAGAGTGCTGGACTTCGAATCAGGGGGTAGCAGGTTGGAGTCCCACTGCAGTCAGCATGTCGTTGTATCCCTGGGCAAGACACTTCACCCCAAATTGCTCCTGTGGGGATTGTCCACAGTAATGAATGTATGTAAGTCGCTTTGGATAAAAGCGTCTAACAAATGACATGTAATGTAAACAAAATCATATTGCTTGATGTCTTAAAGCTGCTGAGTCAAGTATAGCACCTCAAACCACAAATAAATCCAGAGTTACGGTTTCTTTACTTCCTCTACTGAAAACAGTTTAAGTGTAAATCTGTTGCCTGCCAATCGTCCACCGGCAGACCGACCGGATATCGATCCCCTCTTTACTCGGAGCTCCGTAAAAACAAAGCTGCCCATGCCGTCTGACTGTCTATTCGACACAATTTTCATAATTCTTTAGTAATTATACAGTTTTTGACGAACAGAAATATTGTTTTCTGGCATTACTTAACTTAACATGTAAGCCGAAAGTAAGAGGGCGCTGTGCCCGTGTTATCCGGTTCACACAAAACCCTGGTAATAACTCAATGGTGCTTTTTAAGGAATAATTTGAAAATAATTCCAATGAATAAGCTGCAGCATAGATTACACATTACCCTTTACTCATGACTGCACATACTGCACACAGCAGCAATGTGACATGCTGTTACTCATCGTATCATATATCTTAAAGCAAATGGCGGAGATGAGGGTGGGCTGATGCATTTCATTGAGTCCCTTTGGGAACAAAAACGCCACCAACCTGGTCAGGATGACAATTACATGTTAATTGTATAACACCCACACTTTGCCTTCCCATTTAACCAAAGGTAATTACAATAAGAGAGTTGTTGATTTAATTTCACGGATGGCGTGCTGTCATCGATGCTCCCCCGTCAGTGCAGGCGGAGGCAGGCCTGCCCTGTGCTCAGGGAGACCTACAATTTAATCCGCATTTCGAACGCACCCAACCGCGGTCTTGTTTAGTTTGAAATGGGTGCCTTGCTCCGCAAAATGTCCCCAAATGGCGGACACCGCAAATAGCTAATGTTCTCATGCATGATTTAGTGAGTGATTAGACATCACAAAACTAATTTACCCAGACCCATCTTCACACCAGTTTTGATTCTGTTATACCTCCATTTAGAGGAAATGCAGCAATATTCCACTGCTGTAGTTAATAGCCATCCCTGTGCAACATGTGTGAATATCAGTGGCTTTTAGTGACATACTTGCATGCTGTATTAAAGTACTATCAGTGTATTTCCCATTAGCAACCACTTGTTAATGCTATCAGTTTTCTCAGAACCCATTTTGCACCTGTACTTAGGATGGTAGTGGTTTTTGAAAAAGACTGGAGATCAATGTATTTTGGCACAATTCAAGTGGCTTTAGATGCTATAAAATGGCTACCTAGCCTGATAAGAGACACTGCCAGCAAAGAGCATTTGCCACTTTGTGAGTGCATGTGGTGTCGTTACGAGGCCCTGAAAATAGAAAGCGAGAATTACCCCACGTGGTGCTTCGCCAAAAGCCCCGGGGCCCATAAATAACCCGGTGTGCCGTTGCATCTTTTATGCCTCTCCTAGTAGCCCTACACTTTCTGAAGAGTCTTGGTGAAATAGCCAGAAGCATTTCCTAATTAATGGGCTTTTCTCAACGCACAATTAATTGCTTCCTACCATGCAGCCTCGGCCCTTTCACACAGGGTTAAGGCGGCAGACTTTGATGGCCCTCACAAGAAGAACAAGAGGCCGTCAAATCATGAGAGATTGCCGCTGAGACAGAAGCAACGGAATGAATGTGGGCAAAGGAGAGGGGGCTGATGAGGTTGTGTGGGCCTAAGTGTTTATGTGTGTGTGTTGGAAGATGGAGAGGTGGGGGCGGTCGGGAAGGATGATTGAGACAAGCAATCAGTCCCACTGCAGGGAACAGAGGGCAGGCAGGGGGCTGTTGCCTGTGGTTACACTGCTAAGTGTGCCGGTCTCTCGCTTTTTCCCCCTGCACACGGATCAATAGATGAGTGAAATGTGAAATATAATCAACACTTTAATAATAATAATAATACATTTTATTTAACACTTAACATGTTAAAATGCATATAAAAAACATCAAAACTACACATTTTTAGATTTGACATTTGAAAGAAGACTAAATAAGACTTTTATTAGACTAGAAATAAGGTATTTAGTTACACCTTGAGTAAATTCACAAGCTGCATACAAAGTCGTTAAAACTAGCTGCACCTTTACCAGCTTTGATAACACTTTAATGCATCAATAATCCATACATTTATTATTCGGAAATGGGCCAATGTGCACAATGACCACTTTTATTTTCAGTACTTTCTCTATTTTGATAATAATACTTTTGTACTTTTACTTGAGGCACATTTTGAATGCAAGACTTTTACTTGGAACAGAGTAGTCCTACACTGTGATACTTTTACTTTTACTTAAGTACAAGATCTGAGTACTTCTCCCTCCTCTGCCCACGGATTCAGATTGCTTTGCTTCTGATTTCTTTTCATCTGTTCAAATTGCATTAGCCATACCTAAAGTAGCTGTTATCTTTTTGTTTTGTGCTGTTAAAGTATGTCCCGTCAACAAAGACGCTGGTAAGATTCCCTTTGATAACACTTTTAAATATAAACATTTAACAGAACACAAGAGCAGCATTCACTCAGTGTGTGCTGGAGGGATTTTCCCTCAGCCCGAAAATGAATCTGCGATAATCTCTGCTGCCTATCTCGCTGTGCTCAAACATGGGAAATGTTTATGATGAGTAAACATTATCACAGATTTAATTAACAGATCCCACACTCACATTGATCCATGGAATGTATCAATTGCACTGCTGTATTTAATTAGTCTATATATCTGCCCTTTGTGTCACTGGGGTTGATAGAGCGCCATGCTCTGCAAATTAATCTTCATCAGCAAAAGACTTGAAACAAAAGCATGATTGGAATAAAGAGACTGAGAAACTAAATGTCCCTCCTTTGTATTCCGACCACACAACTTCACACATGATGTTGCTAGTTATTATACAGAATGAGTACATAGAGCTGACCTTAAACTTAAGGTTGTGGAATCTTATCCATTATTAACAAAGACTGTATACAGTAGAGAAATAAACTGCAGTACAGTGGAACTCGCTACCATTTGTATAATGATGTTTTGGTGGTGGTGGTGGTGGTAGTAGTAGTAATACCACAGTGTATAAACACTCTTAAACACTATTAATAGTGGCTTAATTATTCAAGTTCAATTCGGTTCAAAAACAGTATTTATTTACAAATGTATTTTAGTCAATATATACATACAGACATTAAAGTATTAGCATCAAATTATTAGCAAAGCATTAGTTAGTTGTTGATTATATTTTTATTTTATTAAACTTCACTCATTCATTCAAATTTCAATAAAGTCACTATGGTTTTCAAAAAAATATGGTGCAGAAGAAAGTCAAATATGTGCCTCTAAATTGTAGTCGATTAAAGTACAAAGTAAGAAATAATTGGAAATACCCAAGTAAAGCAATATTACCTGCAATTTGTAGCAATTTGAGCGGTAGTTTTAGATCACTACAGGAATTTAATATTCAATGGACATGGATGCTTAAACAACCTACAGCTCTACATAAGGACTTTATTGTAACGGTGATATCATTTGAAAGGTAACATGGTGTTATCCTGGTTCGATGAATACTGTTAACTAATCCAGTGGATCCCAACCTTTTTTATTATAATGTAAACCCAGTGGGTCACTTCAGTTCATTTTTAAAAGTTGATAGTGTTTCACAATTGTTTTTTCAAACAAGTTAAAACAATCCAATTGTTGTAGTGTAACTTTTGTGTCTTCTGTAGGGTCATTCAAGTTTACATTGGTACTTCTACTACCACACAGACTGGCAGAAGCTGGATAAACCCCTTTATATATCACTGTTAAATATCTATTTAGACTCCTCTGCT